AAGGTAGGTAGTAGTGTGTGTGTGTGTGTGTGTGTGTGTGTGTGTGTGTGTGTCTCTCTCTCTCTCTCTCTCTCACACACACACACACACACACACACACACACACACACACACACACACACGTGTCTGTCTCTCTCGTACGCATGCACCCTCTGGCACTTTGGAAAGTGGAGGGAGTGGTGCGCTCTAGTGTATAGAGTGGGTTCATCATCATGTTCAGTTTCCGCAGGGAATGTTTGCAGCCACTGCCATGCGACTATTGTGTCTCCTCCCTCTATTTGTGCTGCATTGTAGAGTGTGAGGCTACATTAACAACAATGTGATAACACTTGAGAGGTCAGCTGAGTGCTAGTTCATCATTTAGCACTCAGGCATTCCCTGGGAAATATCCCACCCTCTGACTTCACCACCTCAACCAAGCTTCACAATCATCATTGCTGTGTACAGTATTAAATTGTTTAAAACGTATACTGTGTGTGTGTGTGTGTGTGTGTGTTTGGCGAAAAAAATTACCCTGGAATCTAACCCCCCTATTTACATTAATTCTTATGGGGAAATTGGATTTGCTTAACATCGTTTCACTTAAACTCACATTTTTTCAGGAACATAACTACAACGTTAAGCAAGGAGTTACTGTATTGCTATATATATATATTTTTTCCATGCAGGATTCATTTCAGGGTGTAGAATTGCAACCTGGACATGTAGACCCTATTGAATATCGTGCAGTTTTTATTCCCCTACACATGACGTGCCATCCCAGCAGATATTGCTAGTTGTGGTAAACATTAATAGATGTTCTCAGGCCTAACGTGACACCCATTGAAGTCAATGGAAAGGCCCCCAGTGGCTCAAGGTCTCTGATGTCTGGCAAGACTTCATATTTTTATATAAGAAATCTGGCCAGAAATGGTGCTGGTCATCAGACTGCTCTTTGTTCAGCAAAATTATTTCAGTGGCAGGAGTGATGGGAGGAGCCCAGATCACCTGACTTAAGGGAATATTCTTGAAAAAGGGGATTTTAAAATGTTAAATCTTAACTTCTTCATTGATGGAACGTTGTCCCAATTGACAGACTGCTGAAATCATGCACATACAATGGTGCCCCACAAAAACAGTTTGATTAATCTTTATACCATAGTGATCTCTCTCTCTTTCTCTTTTAGGGTGAATAACTGTGTGGGATTTTCTAACTACAAATTCTTCCTCCTGTTTTTATTATACTCCTTATTGTACTGTCTGTTTGTTGCCGCTACGGTCTTGCAGTACTTCATAAAGTTTTGGACAGTAAGTTTTGCTTTTTGTTAAATTAGCATGCATTACTGAAATCTACATCAGAGCATCATGTCATCCATTTTTGTCTGTTTTGTGGATAAGTACCATCAACAGCAGCATCACTTGAGGTGACTGAAGCAAGAGAACCTTCCGAAATTAAATGAATTAAGTTCTACATTGAGTAGAGCTGGACAAATACTGTGGGAGAGTAGAGAGGGTGGAAATTCAAAAACAATAAAATGCAACTTCTCTGATGCCCAAAATTGAATAGCACAGCTCAATTTTTCAAATATGTGTGTTGGATACTTCCAGAGAGCTGCTTATAATCCAAGCAACAGAGTAAAACAAATGATGGAAAATATTGTCAGATTTGAATAACAAATTCAAGGAAATAGAAATCTACTTGTGGATATTCTGCGAGCAGAAGAGACCGCTAAATGTGCCTATTCATTATGAATTTGTTTGGTTTTAATACTGAGTGCTTATAATGGCAAATTTCAATTTGAGGTTAGTAGCGTTTACTGACCAGACATGGGCATCATAAGAAGTTATGCAAAGTATGTGCAGTGTTAATACTGTTTACTTTCACTGCAACTGTTTTCAATGTTCAAATGGAGAATATGCACATACTCTATTACACAAATTCATTTGAATAGAGCCTTATCAGTGGAAGCATCCTTATACATTATATTTTATACCAATTCTCTTCCAGAGAGAAGTGCACATTCCAGACTCAATAGAGTATCTTCTATTTCATTCCCTCTCCTAATATTAAAGCCTTGCATTGTGCCTACTGTCCTTCCTGATACATAGGACTAGATGTAGTTACTTTCAGAATTCAGCTAATGCTACTGAAAAATAATTGATTGGAAGAATTGTCATCAGTGAAAGGCTCTTCTTCACAACTTTTAAAACTTGTGACTGCCTCTTAAACACAAGTTGCCATCTGTGCAGCTGTGCAAAACAGTAATTATCATCAGAGCTGTAAGGATGACAGTTTTTGGAGCCTAAAGATGTAGCTATATCAGGGATCTCTTTCTTTGTACAAGACTACACGATACATTCGGAGTAGCTACACTTGAAACAGTTGTTCTTTTAATGTCTAAAAAAGACAAATGGTATAAATGGTGTTAGTAGTCATCCAGGCTGTACGCCCAATTCTACGAAGTGCTACCTTTCAGTATAATATATCAATTTTACATTGTGGCCCATCAGTGTAGAGCCAAAGAACTCAGTGGGAATTGAGTGTCAGTGCTTTGCAGGACCAGGCTCTATGATTGTATTCAATCGGATATGTTACTAATTTCCTCATTAAAACATTGCCTTGGCAAATTTCTCAAAACTAAATGGTCTAACTCTAATGTTCAATCTTACTGAATATACACTATTGAATCTTTAATTTGTTTGTGAACGTGGCTCAATGTGGATGTGGCCCTCTGTATTTTACAGATCAGTGGGGGAGCAGACATGCAGGAAAGAGGACTGATTTGCTTTGTCACCTCACTTCATAAGTCTTATTACAATGGAAGTCTTGTGTCTGGACATTTGGCCATAATGAGCATTATTTAATACCACCTATTTACAGAAAATCTCTTCCAAAGCCCATCAGACACAATAGTGGAGAGGACTTCTCTGAGTGGAGAGAGGAAACTTAAGAGCTTCTTATGTAATCATTAGACTTCAATATTCCCTGCAAGCATGTGTCGTTTCTGATAATTGACTGTTTTAAAAAAAAAAAAAAGTGGTCTTATCTTACTCAGCAGTACTGCTTCATTTGTATATTCAATTATATCTGTTTGCTTTAGTGATTAAAACAGGTATGTGATGCTTCTTATGTCTGGTAGCACTGCAGAGCCAACATACTTAGAAAGATTGAGCAGGATTCAGTGCATCAACAACAGAACATTTTTGATTATGAGTGTGGGTCTAATTTGGCATGCAGAACTTTGATATTCAAGAGTGGAAAGAACCCATCTTGACAAATTTCAAAATGAGGTTGCTGGACTTGCAGTAGGAAAAACATCTTTTAATTGTAAACTTGCACACACTTGTTATTGAAATCATTGAGAGACAAAATCCTGAATTCTTTCAATGCCTTTCTTACAATCACTTTTCAAAGTAAAACTATACTTTATACCTATATTCAAGCCACTTATACACTCCTGCAATTAATGTACCTAAAATAAATTATAATGAGACTAAAATAGTTGACCATTTTAATAAGACTTCTGTAGAGCAGTGGTGGCACCTTCATCAGCATGGCTTACAAAATTCACTTGCGTGTGGTGTGTAGGAAGCTTTTCTAGATGAATGCCATCAACTTCTGCAGAATCTAAGACTTTATTGCTATGTGTGATTTGTTTTCTTTAAAATATTCTAGTCTCAGTAGTTGTAAAGAAAGCCTTCCAGATATGAACCAGGTATAACTGATGTGTCGCTGTCTGAAGACTGTTAGCTTCATTGCCTCTGCAGCTGCTCGTAACTTATTCGCAAAGCAAAGTGAAAATTGATTAGGCTTGTTAGTTTTCACTGTTCCTGTTGGGGACCTTTGAGACAGCACTGACCCAACATGGACAAGTTTCAGATGAAATGTACTCTGCTGCAGCTTGGGAAAGCTCTGAGCAAAGGCAGAAGATGGATTCAAAAACAAAGCCTGGTACAGGGGTTCTTAGATTTTAAAGTGATGAGACCATATATAGGTACATAGATAGGATAAGTGCAACAGCACCACCCTTGCAACAGCCAGTAGGCTCTGAGGCTGAAGTGGGGGAACAGAGCTATTTTTTTCTTCCAACAGCCAGTGGGGAATGGAAACTTCATACTTACCAAGCATACATTATCTGGACACTACAAAAATGGAGCCCTCGAGCAGATCTAGAGACAACATTGTAGTAGAAATCCCAAATCTCCTTTTGCAACAGCTGCAGGCAGGGAGAGGAAGGCTATGGGAGGAGTTTAGATTCTCACATGGGCATTGCTACTAGCCAATAGGGCTCTTCATTTTAGTTGAGACCTCAGGCTATTAGATGTTTAGAAAATCCCTATAAATGAGAGTGCCTGTGTGGGATGAGGGCAGTATGAGGAGAACAATGAGATAAGAAAATATTCTGTGGGGAAGATGAATAGAAGTAACAGGAGAGGAAGAGTTTGAAACAACTTTTTTTTTTTCTTTTCTTTAAATCCACTTGGCTATTTTGTTACACGAACAATCAAAAAATATCTTTACCAAAATGAGTTCTGCCCATGTTAGGTAAACAATTTCTAAAGTTCAGAACAACAGCAGCAATTTAACCACAGTATTGACCAGGTCCTGATCAAATTTTATTTCAAAAACTAAATATTTTGCTTTGAGAAAATACTGTTCTCCAAGAATTACTTTGTCTGTTTTACAGAAATATAATTCCAAAATAGCCAAGTGGATTTTTTTAAATTGTTTTAAAAAAAAATTTTTTTTACTTAAACTGAAGATGTGTGCCATGTTTCATGAAAGTTGATTTGGAATTGCTATCAACCCTTGAAAATGTGTTGGGTTTTTTTACAGTGAAAAAACTGACATTCCTTGAAGTTCTAGTACTTTTTACAGTTTTGAGAATTTTTCTCTTATCACTTAGCCTGCAAACTCTGTTGACAGAGTCTTGGCTATCCTGCCTCCTTGGAATAAAAAGCACCTCTGTAACTTTCTTGTTTACTCTGTGGATCTGTATTTCTTAATCTTCAAGCTGTGTCCCCCAGAAAGAGGGCCACCTATCTTGGGTTGGAAAGAGGTTTGGCTACCCCAGCGTGGAGGTCAGCAGAGAGAAGAAATTAATCTCCTCCGCCGACCCTGATGTCAAGAGGTCAAAACATGGCTGGGTCTCTTGAAGAAAAGAGAGAGAGAATGGCAGCCTTAAGAAATAGAAATCATCAGTAACTAAATGGCCCTACATAAGGATGTTGCGAGGTCAAGGAGCCTAGCCTTGATGTGTTGGTGGAGAGAGCAGTTGTACCTTGCTCTCTTAGGCCTTGGCTACACTGGCAATTCACAGTGCTGCACTTGCTGTGCTCAGGGGTGTGAAAAAACACCCCCCCGAGCGCAGCGAGTGCAGCGCTGTAAAGCGCCAGTGTAATAAGCGCCTGCAGTGCTGCACGCTCGCTCGCAGCGCTGCACGCTATTCCCCTCGGAGAGGTGGAGTACTTGTAGCGCTGCGAGAGAGCTCTGGCAGCTCTGGCAGCGCGACTACACTTGCGCTTCACAGCGCTGCTGCGGCAGTGCTGTGAATCCGCGAGTGTAGCCAAGGCCTTAGGCCTTGTCTAGACTTGGATGTAAGATGTGATGTTAATTAACACGTTTTAAAAGTCTTGTGTGGACAAGGGACACTGCCTTTAGCATGTGCTAAACTGTTCAAGTTAAAGCTTAGGCTTTAGTTTGATCAGCTTTTCATATGTTTAAAGCAGTCAGTTTTGCCCACGCTAGACTTTTAAAGTGTTGGCTAATGTGTGCTAACATCACACTTGAAGTCTGAGTTTAGAGAGGGCTTAATTGTTGCAGAAGGGGAAGCCTAGAGTTTTTCAGTTAACTGGTGGGAGGCATCCCAGATCAGTGTATAAGAGCCTTTTGCCTTCATGCAAAAGGACACTGCTGGAGAGGGAACATTATCATATGTGTATTTGTATGGGCAGTTTTTATTTTTTTAGCTATGACTGACTACAGAAAACGAGAGAGAAACCATTTTATTCTGCCTCATTTAGAGCCCATTCCTAAATGTTTTACTTCCCCAGCACAACTGAAAAACAAACATCATGTCTGAGTGGAAAATTTTCTCCTCTTCATATTTACAACCCCCTGACTGACAACTCCAACCTGTGGTAATGAGTATATTGGAAATGCAGACAGATGTGTAATCACTAAACTGTACAGCATTTGTTTTGCACCTCTAAGGTATGCTGAGCTTGAGTTATTTTCCTGACCCCTGAATATTCTGTTCATAGTCAATGTTTTTTAAACCTCAGTTACAAAATTAAAAGACAGTTAGATGAAAACTACTAATGGAGAGAGCACCTGATGCAACTGTATTGGGAAAGCTGAGGAAACATGTTGAAAGCGCCCCATACATGGTATAAATGTTGCCAGTTACACACACCAACAGAGCACTTTAGGCTTTCAAAAAAGAGTTGGCAATCTGCTCCTGTGCACTTTGCTCCCATTTTCTTTATGAATGAAAGATAAGACTTCTAATGGGCATTGGAACGCTGCATGTTTTAGAACACATGTGCACACTAACCATTGCTTTCCGAACAAAGCCTGTGCTGTTTTCAAACATTTGTCTTGAAGTAATACTGGTATATAATAAATTGTCTTTGTTTGCGCAAAGCTTTGCCGCAGGAAATCTGCAGAGAATTGTCCAAAGGTAAAATCCTGTGTTGACGTGATTAATATAGAAATTGTTCCTACTGTGCTTTTTCTAGTCCATTCATTTGTGATAGTTGTTTACCTTGTTACCTAATTGGAAAAAAACCTGTAATCCTTTCTCCGTATAGGACAGGTGGTATAGAGTGTTTGTGTGTTTGATTTAATTGAAATGTATGACAGATAACCTAGAAAAGAAATCAATATCAGATAAGTGTGTGTTGAATGGTCTAATGGAAAATTAAATGGCAATAAGGCCAACTACACCTCTGAATAAAAATAGATACTCTAATTTCTGAATGCTGTTAAAGGTCAACTTCTTAAAAGTATTGAGTTTTTGAGCGTATGTAATTAAACCATTTATTGTTTAAAAAACTCATTGGCCTATTGCAAAAGTATACAGCAAAGCCTAAAAATAGATAGGGAAGAAAGTGAATGCCTAATATTTCTTTTTTTTTAAATCATGTTTTGTACGTGACGTACTGAAGTTGTAGTTCAAGAAAAGTTGATCTACATAAAAATGTGATCTCCATAATTTTGCCATGAGCACGGGCCTGTCGTGGTTTGCTGTGTAAGTGCTGGCTGTGTTTTAAGCTGGTCTAACTCAAGCAACTCGGCCTAGATCAACCAAGGGGACTTAGCCCTGCTGCCTAAACTAGCCAGTAGGGATTGGAGGAAAGGGGTGGGTCTTAGGCAGCTCTCTCATTTTGACATTCTTGGCCATGAACCTCATAGATTCCAAGGTCAGAAAAGACTGTTGTAATCATCTAGTCTGACCACCTGTATAACACAGGCCATAGAACTTCCCCCAAATCATTCATTTTGAACTAGAAATCATTCCTTTAAACCTCCCAGGTGAATGCCCTGACCACTGGCCTACTGGGGGGAGCCACGGGCATTAGCAAGTCCTCCTCCTCTGTTTTGTGCAGGGCCCAATCCAGTAAGTGTGCTCTTAGGTGACCTTTGAGAACACCCAGGATGTGGGCGCTGTAGGCAACCTAGGAGTTGGAATGCCCAGTTTGAAGATCCCACTGGGTCTTAGGCATTGAGCAACTCAGGACTTGCACAACTTTGCACATGCCCACTGGCAGAAATGTAGGCACCTAGGGAATTTAAGCACTTTCATGGTTAAGCGGCAGCTGAGCAAAGAGTTTGAGGATCTAAACTTTGGATTTAGGCACCTAAATCCCTTTGTGGATTTAGCCCCTAATGTTTCCAACATTTAAAAATATTTTAGACAAGACATTGTGTAACTAGTCCAGTTCCTCTCTGCTTTCGCTGCCAGTTTGGGGGCATGTTAACAGGGACACTGTCAACTTAAAATCAAGTCAGTTTTTAAATTAAAAGTAGTTTAAGCACCTTCCCTGAGTCCATCTGTTGATGCTTGTGGTTTCACAGTCCAAATTTTCCTGTTTCTAAAAACAATTTTCTCTCCCCTGTTGCTGTATGGAAGACCCACCCTAACATGAAAGAGATTATACCAAAAGTGCTGTCAAATGTACATAGAAAATACTGCTCGCTTCCAGTTATGTTGGTGTTTACAAGGAACAATAGGTAAAATTCAGACCGAATGGGGTTACCATCAGGCTACTCACTGTGATCCACTGCTCTGAACCGCTTCAGATAATATGGAATATTAGTGATGCAGCATATTATGCAAAGTGAAGGGAAAAAAGCTTCAGAGGGGAATAAGTGTAGAGTAGGACGTTTACTGAGGATGCTGGATTATTTGCTAAAAAGGGTTAATATTAATCTTCATTTTTTTTCTCCCCAGAATGATCTGCCAGACTCGCATGCAAAATTCCATGTACTTTTCCTTTTCTTTGTGGCTGCCATGTTCTTCATCAGCATACTGTCACTTTTCAGCTACCACTGCTGGCTAGTCAGCAAAAACAGATCAACAATAGGTCAGTTAATTGGAATATGTAGTTGCCTTTTGGCCAGAAAACTGATACTGATGTGAGCATGAGTTCTGCAGGAAGTGGCATAATGTTTAAGGGAAATTCTAAAATCCTGTGGAGAGTGGAACATTTTCAGTGGAAGTAATTTAATTGAAAGGTTCTGTTGTGAGATAATTGAGTGTAAAGAGTTATCTGTCTGGAACCAAAGGTGTGGGTGCACGATGGATTTCAGTTATTTGTTTTATCTTTTTGTTGTATATTTGTATGGTGCCTAGCATAATAGGTCCCTAATCCCTGGTTGGAACCCATAGGCATTACCACAGTACAAATCATTTGTATTACAGTAGCACCCCACGGCTCCAACCAAGATAATGGCACCATTGTGCTAGGTGCTATATGTAGATGTAGAAAGACACAATCCATGCCCCAGAAATGTTATGAGGTATAGAGGGAATAAAAGAGGGGACCTTGCTACTAGAAAACTTTTTATAAAACACTCAAAGTAATACAGAAAAATAGAAATACTGACAAATATTTCCTGACTAACATAAGAACAGCTGTACCGGGTCAGACCAAAGGTCCATCTAGCCCAGTATCCTGTCTACCAACAGTGGCCAATGCCAGGTGCCCCAGAGGGAGTGGACCAACAGGCAACGATCAAGTGATCTCTCTCTTGCCATCCATCTCCATCCTCTGTCAGACAGAGGCTAGGGACACCATTCCTTACCCATCCTGGCTAATAGCCATTAATGGACTTAACCACCATGAATTTATCCAGTTCTCTTTTTAAATGCTGTTATAGTCCTAGCCTTCACAACCTCCTCAGGCAAGAAGTTCCACAGGTTGACTGTGCGCTGTGTGAAGAAGAACTTCCTTATATTTGTTTTATACCTGCTGCCCATTAATTTCATTTGGTGACCCCTAGTTCTTGTATTATGGGAATAAGTAAATAACTTTTCCTTATCCACTTTCTCCACATCACTCATGATTTTATATACCTCTATCATAATCCCCCTTAGTCTCCTCTTTTCCAAGCTGAAGAGTCCTAGTCTCTTTAATCTCTTCTCATATGGGACCCGTTCCAAACCCCTAATAATTTTAGTTGCCCTTTTCTGAACCTTTTCTAGTGCCAGTATATCTTTTTTTAGATGAGGAGACCACATCTGTACGCAGTATTCAAGATGTGGGCATACCATCGATTTATATAAGGGCAATAATATATTCTCAGTCTTATTAAAAAGGGGATAGAGAATGATCCCTAACACTGTTTGCTTTTTTGACTGCCGCTGCACACTGCGCAGACATCTTCAGAGAACTATCCACGATGACTCCAAGATCTTTTTCCTGACTTGTTGTAGCTAAATTAGCCCCCATCATAAAATAAAAATAAAAAAAAATCATATTGTATGTACAGTTGGGGTTATTTTTTCCAATGTGCATTACTTTACATTTATCCACATTAAATTTCATTTGCCATTTTGTTGCCCAATCACTTAGTTTTGTGAGCTCTTTTTGAAGTTCATCACGGTCTGCTTTGGTCTTAACTCTCTTGAGCAGTTTAGTATCACCTGCAAACTTTGCCACCTCACTTTTTACCCCTTTCTCCAGATCATTTATAAATAAGTTGAATAGGATTGGTCCATAATGATGCTTCCCTTGCCTGCTGTAAACTGAGTCTTGCTGGTCAGTACAATGGGTATTTTTTCTACCGTGTGTTCACGTTAAAGCACTTGGATAACATTTTCAAAAGTGCCTACGTGACTTTGTAGCCCAAGTCCTATTGATTTTTTTTCTGTGATTTTTTTTTTTCCCCTCCTCAGATTTTTCATCAATCAGATCATTCAGTCAGCTCTAGTTGCAGCCTTTCCTTCTGACTGTGGTCTTTGCTTTTGTTAGACAGGCCTTCTCACATCAAGATTAGATTATTGCAATGCGCTGTACATGAGGCTATACTTTAAAACTATTTGAAGATTGAAGCTGGTACAGAATGCAGCAACTCCCTTATCAAACAGTATCTCACTGGGAATATGCAACACTGGTGCTCCAAGATCGGCACTGACTGCCTAGTGATTAATTTATTTGTAGATTTGTATTAATGCGGCAGGGTAGTTGTTACAAGCCTAATTATAGTCAGGGTTTCAGGTTTTGTATTAGTATTCTTTCGACTGTCAAATGTAAATAAAATAAAATAGACGTTATAAAAGCACGTTCCATATCAAATTTAAAGTTTTACCGTTCATTGCTGTTATGTCACTTAGCTTGTTAGATCTTTGCCATATTTTTAATGGCTAAAACTTGACATCAATGTTTTACTGTAATGCATTTTAAGGCATTGTTGATATTAGTTTCACTAAACTCCCTGTCTGAATGCCATGTATCTTTCCATTGCCTACAGTAAACATAGCAATGAAGAGAAATTGTTTGTTCATTTCCATGCTTTCTAAGTATGTTGCTTAGTTTAAAATTGTTAATTTCCTTTTTTAAACAGAAGCATTCCGGGCACCCACATTTCGAAATGGCCCTGACAAAAATGGCTTCTCTCTCGGATGCAGCAAAAATCTGAAAGAGGTTTTTGGAGATGAAAAGAAGTATTGGTTGCTGCCTGTTTTTACAAGGTATTAAGTAAGACTTGATACCCCTTATGGGAACCATGGATTCCACTACTTTAAAAAACAAACTAAATATGCATAACTCCTGGAATTTAGGGGTTGGTGGGTGAAAGTGTACAGTAAACAGCTGAACAAACTTCACTGAGGACCCTAATCTGAAGAGTTAAGCCTTGATCACAAGGGAGCGTAGGGCCCTGCCAAACTGAGATGTTGAAAACACTTCTTGAACAGTGTTTAGAAAGATGCTAACAGTTTCAGATGACAGTGGGCTGGTACCTTACATAGAGCAGGAGCCCAGCAACACAAAGGACCAGACCAGTGAACTCTCAGGCTTCACCTATGCTACAAGAACACTGATGTAAGATGACATTTTTTAGAAACAATTTTAAAAATAACTGTCTGACACAATTTTGCCTTCAGTGTGGACCGCACATAATTAGATTAAAAGTGTTACGAGAAAATATTCCGAGACTAAGCAATACAAGGCTCTGTCTGTGGTAGAGAAATTGACAAATAATTTCCCAGCAGTTTTAATACCATTTCAGATGAACCTGTGTTAGAATGGGTGTTTAAAACCACTGGGATCTATAGCGTAGATTAGCCTCTGTCAGCCAGACCAGTTTTTTTCCTATCATTTTAATTTAGACTGGCTTCAAAAGCAGGTTTATTGAAGGTGTGGTAAAAATAGGTCTGGCCACTGGAGCCTTGCCTACACTACAGCTCTCGCCAGTTTTAAATGCCAGATCACCTGCATGCATTTGTACAATGGGATGTGTGAATCTTTCTCTCATTCTTTCACACACAATTTTATACAAAAAAAAATCAGTTACTTTTGGGTCACATCCCAAAGAATCATCTCAGTAATTCTTACTAAAATCTATAGTCCGGTGCTGTGACTCAGTCATGACAGACAGCAGTCTGTTTAGGCAGAGAAGGGCAAAAGTTATTTCATAGGCCTGCCCAAAAGCACAGAAACGGGCTCCAGTATTAAGTGGCCTGGCCACATAGCTAAATGGTAGAACTTTGCACTGGCATGCAGGAGATCTATGTGCAGTTCCTGTTTTCACTGGGGTCTGGAGTGCAGCATAGCACTTCAGCTAACTAGTTCTGACATGTGACATTTGATTTTCATGCAAGTACCCATTCAACTGGATTTACCTAGCTCATTTTAATACACTTCCAATATTGATTTACTTAATGTTTCCTTCATCGTGTAGCTTGGGTGATGGTTGTAATTTTCCAACTCGCCTGGTGATTATGGATCCAGAGCAACTTACTGTCTCAAGCCAAAATGAACCCGCCAAAAGGTATTTAGTTTCAGCTATTTATTTTGTATTTCTGTGCTTTTATTTATGTCTCCTTTCATCTTTCATCGGGCGAATAAACTAAGTGTAAGTTTGAAAGGTCACTTTAAACTAGTTGCACCCACCAGTAGGTCCTGAATTAGTTTGTAATCCTTCATAGGTAGATGGGGTGGGTTGAGAAACAATGGTGGACAGCACAATGAATATGTCTCCTCAGTGCAAAGCAGTGATCAAAAAAGAAAGAAATAAGTTATTTACATGACCGTATTAAGAGGATAGACACCAATACCGAAAATATAAATGGATAGATTGATGATAGGGCCCTACCAAATTCACGATCCATTTTGGTCAATTTCACGGTCATAGGATTTTAAAAATGGTAAATTTCATGATTTCAGATATTTAAATCTGGCATTTCATGCTGTTGTAATTGTAGATGTCCTGACCCAAAAGAGGGTTGTGGGGAAAAAGGGGGTTGTAAGGTTATTGTAGGTGAGTCGCAGTATTGATACCCTTCTGTGCTGCTGCTGGCAGCAGTGCTGCCTTCGGAGCTGGGCTTCCAGAGAGCGGCAGCAGCTGGCCAGGAGCCCAGCTCTGAAGGCAGCACTGTCTCCAGCAGCAGCGCAGAAGTAAGGATGGCATGGTATGGTATTGTCACCTTTACTTCTGCACTGCTGCTGCTGACGGGGTGCTGCCTTCAGAGCTGGGCACCTGGCTAGCTGCTGCTGCTCTCCGGCCACCCAGCTCGGAAGTAAGAGTGGCAATGCCACGACCCTCCTATAATAACTTTGCGACCCCACCCCCTTTTGGGACAGGACCCACAGTTTGAGAAACACTGGTCTCCCCTGTGAAATCTGTGTAGTATAGGTTAAAAGTACACAAAAGACTAGATTTCATGGTCCATGACGTGTTTTTCATGGCCATGAATTTGGTAGGGCCCTAATGATACATCTTCACCGTGAACACTTTCAGATTTGGTTACTTCTCAAGAAGAACATAATAGAAAAGTTCCAAAGATTAGCAAATAATATAATTTGAAGGCCTATGAGAAGGGATTTGAAAAGACTAAAATAATAATACAATTTTAGAGAAGGATTAGAAAGAGGTAGATGTGTATAAAGTAACAAATGACATTGGTGGTGTTTTTACCATTTCACATAGTCCCGTAAATGCATAAACAAGGGGACACTCAAGCCCTACCTGTTTGAGGAAATTGAACTGTTGCTGGCAACGATTTTTAGTAGTTTGCGGATATTGAAAAGTGTGCTAGTTTAGAGAGGACAAAACTGTCTTCAGTATTCTTCAGAAAGCTGGATTCAGACTTGGTGAAGATTTCTACATGTACGTGGAACTAAGTCTTTCTGAAGTGCTATTATTGTCCAGCCTACACTAGCACTTAGGAGGAATCCATGGCTTAAATGACTCTGGCAACAGTTCTGTGTTCTGGTGTAGATGGGCTTTGGAGAAATTAAAAGCCAACTTTTATAAAATAAATTAAATATACTTTTTTTATGCAAGATAACTAACCTGTGGAACTTGCTTAAACTTAAACAATGGAGCAGGATTATGGCTCAAATAATGCAGTAGCCTATTGCATTAGGCGCATGCTGAATGGAGCCCCGTAACATTAACTTGTCCCATTGTTATACGCTGCTTTTTCTTTTTCAGGAAGTACTGGCTACGTTATTTTTGTAATTTATATGGCAATTGTGTAGGTGAAATCACAAGATGAATGCAGCATGGAGTTCTGAACAAGGCATTCCACAGTGTTCAATTTTCCATTTTCCCCATGAGAACAGTAAATGGCCTTAACCAGTCCAGACAGAGGCTATTTTCACGGAAGCAAGTCTATACGTAAATTAGGTTTTAAACGGGCAAAAATATACTTAATTTCCAGTTACATTGCCTGGACTGTTTGGTGTTTTTGTTTTACTTTTAAGTCAATTTTATTAAATTTTTCAATAACTTATGACTTGTATGCTTCTTACAAAATCTAACTTTGGACAATACTTCTGTGTACTCTGTTTTCAGTTCTGGAGCCAATCAGCCCTTTCCTGTCAGGCCACTCAGTGAGTCACAAAATCGATTGTTGGACAATGAAAGTCAGTGGGTGGAAGGTGGCTCAGAAGAAGAAAATGTTAAATCAGGTAGAATTTATAAAGTAAAGGGTCACATCTCAGGTGGTATCATACTTTATAGTTGAGCTATGTTTTCCTAATGGATTTTTAAAGTTTAGTAAATAAAATATTAATGGGTGGAAAATTTGTCAAATGGAATCAAGTCAATATTTTATTTCTAGAATGAGGCTAACTTGTGCCTCATAATCTAATCCAAAACAGATTAGTGCATTAAGGAAATCGAAGAGTTCCAACTTTCTAGTCTCCTGTTCTGGATGTTCTAGTTTGGGATGGGTTTGTGCTTTGGTTTACAGGGAGGGGAAAATTACTTCTGTAAAATAGAGAGAGAATGTGGGTGAGCCAATATCTTTATTGGACCAATTTCTGTTGGTGAGAAACACAAATATATGCAGCACCGTAAACTTTGTGGTTTAAAGCCATTGTCTGTGCAATACATACTTTGTATGATGATTCTCTCACTTTTTAGGTGCAAAAAAGCATGTTATAGTTTCATTGGAAAGCTGATCTCAGTCTGTTAATGACCAATTATCTCAATGAGAAAAAGGTAAGATCAATGTAATTGATTATTTTACACAGAAACAGCAAATAAATTACTTCTGGCCATCTGAAGCCATAAAATATCCGGTCTGTGAATTCAGAGAACGTCTTGAAGCTTCTTAATAAAAAGTTCGCTCTTCAGTGCATCACAAGTGCTAGAGGTGTAGCTCTATGTAGCATTCTGTCTGCAGAGTAATATGTGGGATAGCTAGTCTCTTCCTCTGTCTGATTAAATAGCAGAGAACCTTGCCTCTTAATAGTACCATCCTCTGATTTATTTGCTTCAGAAGTAATGAAGGTCTGATAGTAACTCAGTTCAGCCTTCCCTGAGATTTAAGAATAGAGTCCGGTGGATAAATGAACTGGAGGCTCATTTATAGAGCTGAGCATGAGGTTCCTGGGATAGAGCCGTAACAGCTGGAGGGGATGAAACTGGAGAAGTGGATAGAAGGAGCAAACCCTGTAGCAGTGGATTTGTGGGCTGAGAAGACTCAGCCCTTCCCCCCAGTTTGGTCTGCAAGCAGACCAAAGAATTCCAGCCTTAACCCACCAGTGGAAGGAAATCGCTCCAGACGCAATTCCAAGCTAAATGCTTTCTTGATGTTCTGGAGCAGCTAAACAATGTGTTGATCTGTCTTGCTCTTGCTTATGAGGTCAGAAAAGCGGTGGGCGTGAGGTAAATCCTGCTTCAGTGAGCGATCTCTGTACTCAGAACAAATGGCTCTGCTTAGTCACACTTCAAATTGACAGTAACGTTATTTTTCTGTGCATGAAAGGGTTTCTGTATATACTTTTCTTATTTGATATTTGGGAAATACGAGGTGTGCTGCTGCATACATGAAAACTCTGTATTTCCTGAGTACATTTACAATGACTAATTTAGATTGTAATAGTGACTTTAAAAAAAGCTGGTGGAATTCTGTAAGGAAAATGCAATGAGAAAGTATTCGTAAGAGCAATAGATTGTATACAGACACAACTGTTGTTTGTTGTTTGTTATTAGTTACGATGTACCATTTTATGTCGTTAAGGAGAATTTAGAGAGACTATCTATTGGCGTCCTGTATTGCAAGTTCCCCATTGGACTTCCCTAGTTGCCAAAGTCTGTCACCATGTAGGAGAAATAGGGGGACTGAGGTCCTTTGCAGGAAGCTGGGCAACTGCTGTAGGAAGAGAATACAACTGGTTCAGGAAAGCAACACTATTTAGGACAGCGTATAAGCTTGTGCTTAAATGTTGCCCTGAATAGAGATGAGTACTTGTTTAAGTACTTTTATGAATCAGGGCCTTACCAGAGGCAGAGAGCTTGAAATTATATGTTTTAAAATCTTATTTGTAGAATTAATTATAAGGTAGGTAGATATAATTCTTAAATAGAAACTGATCTACATGTTTATTAAAGTTAATGTTACACTTCCACTAATTAACTTATTTCCTTTAATTAGGTTTCTGCGACACATTTGTGCTTGAATATTAATTTTGTTTGGAAGATGTTGCTCAGTAAAATGGAACAGTGTGAACATGTTAAAGAAGATTTATGAGAAATTGTTTTTGTACAGTACAATGGACGCTTATAAGCACTGCTGCAGAGCAGGGAAGTAAGACAGATGCCTTAAGATTATTAATATGCATTTATGCAACATTGACTTATATACTGCTACAAAAGAGCCAAATCCTGAAGTGTCCTACGTGGGTGAGCAAGGCCCAAACAGAGCAGAAACTATGCATTGCTGCTGTGGGGGGATAGATCTGCCAAGACCCAAGCAGGCAGATGCCGTATTCCTGTGCACTGCAGAAGTTACTTCCATAGCAGGTCTCCAGGGGACCAAGAAAGGGGAAAAGTGGATGTGTTGCCCACAAACACAGAGCATGGCCAGTGAGTCTCCACTGTGTAGCTACATGGGACCCAAACATCACGTAAGAGAAGAGCAGCGCGATGTATCTTCATCTCTTCCTAGTACCCAGTGGTAGCTGGTCACACACTTACTACCCCTGTACCCTGGCTCTGTAGTGCTGTGGGGGTTAAAAACGCCTTCCTTCAGCCCTGCTTTGTTGCAGCAAAATGCCAAGCAGATAAAGCTCTTTCACTTGGGCTCCACTTGTTTGCTTCAGGATTGGGCCCCCTAGTAATTTGATTTATTTAATCCTATCAGGAATGTGACTCCTTAAAGTGACCATTTAGATATAGTAACCTGAACAATAATTTTATTTTTCCTACAGTTGCCTCTCAGCATACAAAACATTGTCAATCCAGAAAGGAGCTAACAAACTAGTACATTTTTCTGTTAGGGGTGCAAAATGGGATGTACAAGGCAGTAACAGAGCAGCAAGATCCTAGTGGCAGCAGAAAACTTATTGTAAGTTTTGTACTGTATTGGAAAATGAAACTGGAGGAAATTACTGCTTTTTATATTTAACACTTGATGGTTTATAAACATTGTTTTATATTTGCTTTAGCTTTTTAATAAAAACAGAAGGTTGGTTTTTTTTTATTGTTGGCTCTAAAGTACCATTTAGACACAGTTCAAGTATCTGTGATGAAATGTAAATGTTGGATCATGCATTTGGGGAATGTATTGGAAGTTTATTTTATGCTTTAGTCTGTTGTCTTTTACTTTCATTTTAAGTGGAAGTGACTGAAAAATAGCTGAAATAAGCACTTTACATAATTCTTTATCTTGTTCATGAAAGGCAAGTTAAATGTTTCCTATGTAGGGAATATAGTCCATCCAAAGCTCGAGACCCACAGCAAACAACATATCCACATTTCTTACTCCTATTTAGAAAAGACTACTAATGATATTTATTTTTCAGTGGTACTGACATTGCACCCAGCAAACTTGAAAAATGTCCCTTACTTGTCAATTTCTATATTCCATTATATGGCATCTGCTGATCCTGAATAGGTGCAATTGGGTCCTCTTGAAACTGGGACTGGACGCAGCAGAGCAGTTTATCTGGGATGAAGGGACCCACCTATGTGTTTTTGTTCCTGGGCTGATTACTTCCAAAACTGAACGTGTATTTTATGAAAACACTAAGGTTAAAGTTGGGGCAGGATTTTGCTCTCACAGGGCCCTTAAGTCCTCTCTGGAGTTAAAATGGTACCTATTCCTTTATATTTTCAAGTACTGCTTAAAGTGGGAGGGATCTGAGAATTTTTAAGCATGCTCTGGTCACTAGCAAGTGTACTCATGGAAGGAAATGTAATGGTCCAAAATTTCACTTTTCAGAAGTCTTGCAAAATGTCTCTCAAAATTTTGTACTACTTTTGTACAAAAAGTGTAGCACCTACCAACTTCAGAATTCACAAAAAACATCATATGCCTTCTTTTGAGCTACAAACCCCTTTTCCCTGAAATCTTTCAGCCAGTCTCAAATATTGGCAACTTCTGCTTAACTGAAAATAAAAAAAAAAACAAGTCACCAAATTCTAGCAATCAACATGTTAGGTTTGGAAAGAGAGATCTCTCCATCAAAATATCCTATGGCTTGTCGGTCTCAACCCAGTGAGACCGACAAGACCCTGATTTCATCTCCCCTCTTCCACTGACGGGTATTAAGAGCTGTGAAGCACCCCAAGCTGTCATTATAGAAAACATGACTATGGGTATTTCCCCCTGCATTTTACAGATGAGCGAATTGAAGATCTAAGAGGCTGCAGAGGGTCATTTCTGGCAGATCAGGGACTAGAACCTAGGTCTCTACTGTGGCAAGCTCTCACTTAACAGTACTGCCTTTGAGTCTAAAAACACTGTGTTAATTGTATCTGTTCAGTATACCAGTATAATTGCATCCACACTAGAGGCTAACACCAATTTAACTATATTGGCTGCTAAACTAATACAATTTAAAGCAGTACAAAAGCTGCGTATAGACAAGCCCTCTGAGATTAAGCCAAATGTCTGTGTGTGGTTTCCAGTGAGCAGTGAGTTTCTTTGGGAGTATTTTTTCCTCTGCATCTCAGATAAGCCACTAACAATGAATTGAGACTTCCATACAGAATTGGTGCTACTGATATATAGATCTGGATACAGATAAAGATAGATTTTTAGTGCCATAGTTTGCCAGATTTTCTGATGTTTTGAGTAAGACTAGTATGAGAGTATCACACTCTTGATTCTGGTGAAGGAGGAGCTCTGCTTGGATGTAAAAGCAGGTAGTATCTGAGGCCACTTTTACAGGATGTAAAACATCAGTGGGTGGTTCAACAAAGAGCCCCCTGGTTCAGCTCACCCTTCTTGGAGAAGTGATTGCCACAAAAAAGACCATATTGATGGAAAGGAAATACCATGAAACTGATCTTAAAGGGTGCCCAACTATGGACTCCTAGAACTAAATAGAATCCACTGGCCAAAGTGGTGCATCTCTCTGATACAGGGAGTCACCTTTGCTGTCTTTTTTGAGAACTGACATAAGAGCTCTGGGTATACAATAGGTACAGCATCTGAAACAGGATCAAATCTTCCAGGCTGTCATTTGGAGAGCAACCCTATTGGCAGTTTCCCATGCATAGGCAAGAGCACTCTGTACTTGAGTGAAGGAAAGTGAATTAAAGGCAGAAGGGGAGAGAGCCAGCAATAAAAAATAAATTTGGCAAGAAAGAAAGAGATGGGAAAGGGGGGGGGGAAGCTGTTTTGCTGCTGAGTGGAGTTGTAAGTGCACTGCTTCCACGCTTTGCCTTACAGAGGCAGGACAACCTGTGAGAGCAACCTACTGAGCAAGTCCTTTCAGCCCAGGCCTTCCTATTCAATCACTCAGAGACTTCCAGTCACTGCATCAAGGGAACCCCACCCATTCAGGATCAGTGGATGTGTTCTTGAGATAATATGATTATAGTGAGTGCTGGATTGTGTTTTATAAAAGCTGTTCCATATGTGCAAGTACAGAAATACTGAGACGACAACTAAGGGCTTGTCTACACTGGCAATTTACAGCACTGCAATTTTCTTGCTCGGGGGGTGAAAAAACACCCCCCTGAGCGCAGCAAGTTTCAGCATTGTACAGCGCCAGTGTAGAAAGTGTACCAGCGCTGGGAGCTATTCCCCTCGTGGAGGTGGGTTTTTTAGAGCGCTGTGAGAGCTCTCTGCTGCGAGTACACAAGCCACGTTAAAGCGCTGCCACAGCAGTGCTTTAGCATTGCCAGTGTAGACTAGCAGTTCCAATGCTCAAGCCTTCAGATGCCTCCACATTGCAGCCACAAATAGTATTCCAGTTATTTGATTGCTGGAGTATATTGGTACCATTAGAATCTGTGTGCTTAATGTTTCTTAAAGCTATTTTGTATTAAATATATGTAATGTGCTTTAAACTTCCAGTTTGAGGACAAAAGCCTGATATAAAGCTCTTCTCTCTTCCTATGTAAGGGTTTCCTCCCATTTCTGAATACTTAAGATGATAAAGAAGTCCCTTAAGGGGGAAAGATGAAACAAGTGAATCTGTGAGAGAATTCAATTCAATTGAAACGCTTTTGCTTATGTAACAGTACCTGCATTTACAATTTGTACCACATAATCAGACTTGTTTTAAATAGTGGTCGTCTGATTCTTGGCAAATTTGTATGATGAATGTAGGAAAAGAGAGATGCTATCTCTTATCAACTAAATTCTTAGAATACTATCTCAAAATTTGACTTCAGTTTATAGAAAGTAATCTTTGAGCCCAGACTTCCACTGACTGATTTTTACTAGGTAATTCTAGAAGAAATTTTTTGACATTACTAATGTTTTTAGCTGTCTGGTTTAAGAAAACACACTCTAATGTGTTAGTAAGCATACCCAGACTGTGTGGAATGCATAGATAACAATCTACTCTTCGTACAGTATATGTCAGAATTAGGTACACTAACACTTGCACTTCTATGAGTTTTAAGTATCTAAATTTTGTAGGTACTATTCCAGTCTAAGTTCATGCTTGAAACAGATTTTAGTATGTTTATAGTAATTTTTGTGGACATTTGTCTGCATCATTGAAGCATTGCAATTTCAGCTCAATGGAGCCCCAGCAGTGGAATGGAAGTAGCATTTGTAAGTAACAATTAAGGTCTATTGCCAGATTGTCTAATGAAGGATAAGGCTAGTGCAATCAGTCTTCAGTTTGAGCAGCAACCAACCAAATTCAAAAGTATCTTCTGAATATGAAGTTTTACATTACAATATAGTTTGTGGAACCCAGGCAAGTTTTAGGGATTCGGACATCTGTTTAAAAAGACTCCAAATATTTCAATTACTGAAATATCCGTAAACACAGATCACCCGGGAACCATTGTTCACCATACCTGAAATGTAATTAGATATTCAACACACAGGGCATCTTGTCAGTATCACTAATAGATACCAAAGAGAAGCTGCAGTATGTAAAGCTTAGTATAATACTGAAAATGTTTACTAAGTTCATTTCTATCCATTTATTTTGTATTAGGGACAGCTTTTTGTATGCATATTTTTCTTTAGTATAGAGCTGCCATAATATGTAATGAAAATGCAGAATGTAGTTATAGTGCATCTTAACATTACTGTAATGCTAAAATTTGTTTTAGGTTAGACTTAATAAAACTGATTTTTGCAGAGGTTACTTGAATCTTGTTTCTAATAGGTAGCAGAATCTGACCATGTTTACAAGATTGTTTTAATTACTTGGTTTTCAGAAGATGAGATTTACCAGCAGAAACTCAGATGAGTGCATAGCACCCATGCAAATGTGCTGGGGAATGAGTATCAGGATCTCCTGCTTGCTGTCACCAAAACTTTTATGGTGACCAGCAGACTTCATACTGTTTACATTATTTAGGTTACAATATACTAAATTGCTCAACATGCCTCTGTTGAGCTCTTTTCCTGCTGCATCAGCTCCAGTCAGGTAGTCTGAGAAAATCAGATTTCACAGTAATATTTTTAGGATCAATCTACATTATGGTTCAGACTGAGGATAGATAAGACTGATGTATGCTAGTCCTTTATTAAGAATTTGCCCCATTTAAATTGTGAAATAAATATCTCTGCAGCTCCTGTATTTGCCAATGGGTATGTCATCTACATTGCACTGTAATGGCAAAATCCTGGGTGTCTGCACATATCTTACTTTCGTGTAGTTATTTTCAGTGGGTTACGTACACTTGCAATTAATTGTTTGAGTCTCTGAAGTTAATTATACAAGAATAAATATGTAATAAATGACACATTGTATTTTTTGTATGTTGCCGGTAGGAACATTCCTATGCACAAAGAAAACATGTTGCCATTTATAGTTTAATACTTTGAAGTGTTTTTTTTAAATGGGCTTTTATAAATGAATGAAATATACAAAAAAAAACAAATTTTGCCTGAGTTCCTTCATATTTTAATCGTACCTTGTAACTTCTCCATATGTATATTTTTTTCACCACTGTACTCTTAGGTTATTACTTAATGTTAAATGTTTGCATTCAGACTTTTGTAAATCAGAGTTCAGACCTACATATTTTATCTAAATTACAATTCACGGTTTAGGCAAAACTTGCACCTTTTGGGGCTCTCTTTTCCTAAGTGGTAAAGTATTAAGGTATGACACTTGACCTCACTGAATGCAAAAGTGACTAAATAAAGAATGTGAAATATTCTGAAAATAAACTGTTTAAATGTAGTGCATTTGTGTGGTGGTGCGGGAAGCTTGTTTGACCTGTTGATGGAAAGCTAAAACATTTGTAAAGGGAAGACAAAATTCTCCTCTCTAATTTTGTTAGAGATGGGCATATGCAGGTGTGCTTTGCAGTACAGATAAGACTCTCTGCCCCACAAGGTTTACAGTCCAAAACAAGAGCAAATGACAACATGGTAACTGTTAGTTCTAATCTATCCTGTTTTAATCATCATACTGATCTGTCTAATGGAAAATCTGGTTCTGCAATTTCAGAGTCAAAGCTGCCACTATAGAGAATTAAAACAAAGATGCATTCAGAATAGTCCAAGGGTCACTGTACGGGGAGCTGCTCCCCCATCCACCCAACCCCCATGCATCTGGACCTCCCAGACACTCCTGCTAAGCCTCCCGCTGTACACCCAGAACCCCCGATACCTGCATCTCAACCCCTGCATCTGGACCCCACTGCCTCCAGACCCCAACCCCTGAACCCAGACCACCCCCCCGAGTTCCCTGCACTCAAACCCTGAGCCCCACCCCATCACCCTGAGCTCAAGGCCGCTTGCCACTGACTCCCAACTAGCTGCACCCAGACCCCCACCCCACACGCTGAGCCCCAACCACTTTCACCTAGAAGCCCCTGCAGCATCCCATTGCCCCTGCACCTGGAACCTCTCCCCCCCCCCCCCGCACCTCTGTGCATCCAGATCCCCCCACTGAACTGCCTGCACCCTGAGTGTCCCACACAGAATCTTCTCACCCCACACTGAGCCCCTCCCCACTTGGGTCCTGCCTGCCCCACACCTGGTGCTCCTGGCACAGAGGGGCAGAGCCCCAGCGTGTTTCTGGCCCAGGCCTTGTGCTGTGTCAGGGTTGGGTGTAGTCTCACCACTGAGTCCATGTCCTAGGTGGGAAGGCTGCAGGATGATCTCCCACCTTAACACAGCTAGTGGCCTATGCTCCCCACTGCCATGCTGGAGTCTCTGCATTTATTTATTGATAAAGTTTGCAGAATTTTAAAATGTGTGCAGAATTTTTAATTTTTTGGCACAGAATGCCCTCAGGAGTAAAATTCATAGGAAAAAAAATGGGTTCACACAATAAAAGAATCACTGCCCAGGAGCATTTGTAATCTAAGTTAAGGAAAGCCAAACCAGACCAGACAGCAACACAATGAAAGCACTATGACTACAGGGCTGTGGGAGTGAGGGGGAAGAAGTTGGGGGTGCAGATAGGGTTCTCATACATCCTCTTAGTTGAGAGTAAAGGCCCAGGCAGGGACACATGCATCCTGGATACAAATGCATCACTGCATAGATGGTGTTGACAAGAGGAATTGGCTTCCTTGACCATAGGATGCTGTTTTAGGAAGAGATGGGTCAAATAAAATATACCCATAAGTATGACTAAATCCTTATTTAGTTATGAGAAACTCTTAATCCTAATATGGCCTCAATGCCTTTTGTTTCTCCAGATTATTTTTAGATACTATTATTCTTGGATATCAATCTGCCCAGAATAGCATAATCAGACCTCCTCATGCCCACATCAATTATTCATTTTCATCTCCAAATAAAGCAAAGGGACTCAGTGGTAGGAAAAGGCCAGCACTAATACTGGTTAACCTACTACAGTTGCTTTCCCCCCCACATTTGAGGAGGAAGCTAGTGAAGAAAAGAACTGATTTACAGCGATCCTGCCAAACTCCCACAGCACAACAGCAATTGCCTTACAGCAATTCCCACTGCCCAAATGCAGCATGGCCCTATACAAAACCCCGGCTTTATAACAGAAGATAGGCATATACTGGAGATGCTTGGAAAGCTTTCACTGTGTAGTGAGCTAAGATTAAGGGGGGAAAAAAACTCACATTTTTCCTGTATGATTGATTTTAATGTCATTAACTCTACATATATTAACAGAAGACAAATGTTCATCTGATTCACATCCTTATCCCCACATTTTTATACCAAGTACAAAATTTTCCACAAGAGGTGTTGAACAGCCTACAACAGATCAGATGGTACAGCACTGCAAATATGCCAAAAGTGAACAGATGTGATTTAAGAGTTTGTCCATTTTTTAGTCACATTCAAGTGATTCAAATGATCTGCAACATATCTATGTTCAGGAAACTTAGATATTGCCTGGCTTTTCACAGCCTCCCATTTTGCAAGCCTCCGCTCTGCATTATGTTTATATTCCTGCTCTAGTGTCATATATGGTTGACTCAGCCAATATTCATTCTCAGCTTCAACTTCCAGCCTTTGAATCATTGAACGCTTCATTGAAAGAGTAACCACTCTTGGTCTTCTGTATTTTCCAATCCATTGTTTCCCAGGAATTCTTTTTCGGAGGAGTACTGTGGTCAGAAACATTACCTTAAAGTAAATAAGATTATATATAAAGTTTTAAAATTTATTATGAATAATTAAAGTCAGCTTAGAAATAGCGAGTGTTTCTGTACAATTAAAACACTTGTTCAGAACACTTCTAAGCTATTAGAGCAGCCTTTACTTTAAGGCTTGAGGTCCGGGGCTCTTCCACCAGCCAGCGGCTGCAGGAGAGAAGGGGCAGAGGAGGGGAGACAGGGAGATTGAACTCCAATTGATTGCTCTGCCCCTGAAGTAGGCAGGGCAGTGAGACAAACAGCAAGTCAGATGGCAGCTTTCCCCCACTTCTTGTTCTAACATTTAATTTTTCAAAAAATTCCACTGCACACCTGTTCGTGCCTGATGACACACTGGTTGGGATTTGGGAAACACTGCATTAAAGTGTTACAAAGCTGAAAGTTTACAAAATTGACACCCTGAAATAACCACCATTCAGACAGCTTCTACAGTGATGGATGCATCAGAGTTTCCCAGATTTTTTTAAGGCCAAAATGGACCATTAGATATTCTAATCTGATCTCCTGTACAACACAGGCTACTGAATTTCACCCAGGTATCCCTGCATCCAGGCCAATAACTTCTGTTTGATTAAAGCATATTTTCTAGAAAGGCATCCAGTCTTAATGTGATGACAGTCAGATAATCCACCACTTTCTGCGGTAGAACCAATGGATAATCACCCTCCCTGTAAGTGATATGCCTTATTTCTAATAGATATTTGTCCAGCATTACCTTCCACTCTTTGGTTCTTATAAAAGAACCTTGTAGTACCTGGTATTTTTTCCCTGTAAAGGTACTTACACACCTCAATCAGCTCACCGCCTGATTTTTAATTAATTTATTTTTTTAATCTAGCTAAACATTAAGTCTCTAGCTGTAAGGCACTTTTCCCCACCGTTTAATCATTTTTGGCACTGCATCCTCTCCAAGAACTTGTTGACTATGGGGGCCCCAGAACTAGATTCCAGTATCTGTCTCACCAATGCACAGAAAGGGGCATTTTCAAAGCTTGCAGCAGCCCGTTTTGCCACAGCATTACACTAGGCTCTCGTCTTGAATTACTTGTTCACTGCCCCCCTTAAATCCTTGCCAGAGTCACCGCCTTCTAGCACGCAGGCGGCCGCAGGCTGGATACGCGTTCCCAGAGGTGTCGCTTTGCACCCCGCGGCACCGAATCGCATCGCTTGCCTGGGCGCAGGTTACGCTCCCCATCGCGCTGTGACTAGCACCCCGCCCCCACTGCAGTTACCGCCCCACAGAGCCCCCCGCGCAGGCTGCCCCGCGGGAGGGCACAGGCCGGGCCACGCGAGCTAGGGAGTGACAGGCCCGGGGGTGAGGGGCTGTCCGCGCCTGGAGCCCTTTACCCTAAGGCGAGGTCCGGCCTCACCGACCGCAGCCCCCCGGTCACCGGCTTCGTTCGCCGCAGCCCGGTCACTTCCGCGTGGGCCGGGAACAAGACGGCAACGGCCTACACCAGGCGCTAAACAGGGTCAGCACCGCGCGAGCGAGACATACGCCACGGACGCTCGATGCTATCGCGAGACTAGGAGCGCCGCCGCGGGAGGGGCGGGGCCTCGCCGCGCCCAATGGCGTTCGTTCTGCTCAGGCATTCAAACGAAGTTCGAGGCGCGCGGCGGCGGTGACGGGTCATTTTGTTTCCATTCCACCAGCAAGGGACGGACCCGGGCGAGCGAACCTAGAGCGGCTGCGGGTAACGGCTCGGCCGCGCGCTGTCGGGTGGGGCTGGGGAGCCGCCTCTCTGCCCCGTGCCGAGCTAAGCAGGGAGACAGTCCGAGAGGGGAGTGCTGGTGCCCGGCGGGGTCGTTAGCTGAGCCCTCGCTCCCGCACCCGGTGTGTGTGTGTGATTGCATTAGGTGAGCCTCCCCCCCCCACACACACACACACAGACAGACACGTGCGGAGTGGGGGGCTATTGTGTTAGCTGAGCTCCCCCACAGACAGCGGCCGGGGGAGGGGGTAGCGCAGTAACCGAGCCCCTCTGCAGGGCTCTGAAACTACTTTAATTTGCACCATACCTTGGTGCGCCCCCGACATCTCAAACACTATGTGCCATCCGGTCAGGGAGTGTCCCTATCTAACAACGGCCCCCGGACGGCAAAGGGGCCTGGCTGAAACCTCAGGATTCACCGTCATTGCAGAGATACAAATCCCAGGAAATGTCTTTTCCCGCTGTGGGAGTTCCCAGGCCCCTCTCCTGCAACTGATGTGTGAAATGCCACATGCACATTGCTCCTCTCTGGGTGCATTTATTGGGGGGGCCTTAATTGGCTACAGTACTTATGGACTCTCAGTAAAATAAATGCCTCAGGAAGTATAAAATGTGTGATTATGACAATCTCTTTAAATCTAGACAGTCTGTCAGAAAGAAACACTGTGGAGCTTGATGCCATTAGTACTGTGTGTCTTGTAACTTGACAAACACATGAAATGTGTCATAAATGACATCCTCATCTGTGTCGCTTTTCCTTCTTAGCCTATGCATAACCTGCCTCAGGTGGCATGTGACTAGGATTCATCACTGAATTTGGTCCACTGGTTGGTTTCCCCAGGCTGCGTACTGCCAGGGAGTCCGATCCATGCCCCCTCTGTGCTGCTGAACTGCTGTTAATGGCTTGACTTTAACTCATTTAATTTACATTTAAACTAAATTCTTGCTAATTTTCATCTGGCCTGTTGTTGAACATGAGCCAAAGTCCCCTTGGCTTCCCTCTGAATGAAATGTAAGGCCAAGACAATACAAAACATTTAAAGTAGCTCTCACAGAAAATGGAAAAAAATGGTATTAGTGAGAAGGGGGGTAAAATGGCAGAGGATTCTGATGGGGGAGGTTTGGTTGGAAGTGGGGACTTTATGGGGGCATTCTGCCCTCTTGAAGTTTGCCTTGCTCCTCCGCACCTTCCAAGCAGGGCCCCTGTCTACAGTTGCTGGGTAAATTCCACAGCTGTTCCCCTTACTGGGAGGAGGCTTGAATTGCAGCCAGCTAGTTCTTTAGCAGAAGAGCAAGGTGGCGTTCCTTAATTTTATAGCCAGGCTTTATTTGCTGACTACCTTTCCCTTCCCCCTGCCCAATTCCCCTGGGGAGATAGGAGGAAATTCCCCATGTGTCTCTGGCCTCCAGCCCTGTTGTGGCAAGTCTGCAGCTTCTACAGTGGATTTCTGTGTGGGAGCACTTGGCTGTCAGAGTTCTCTGCAGCTGCAGCTTTTGCAGCTGCTCTGAGCCATCCCTGTATGCGTCTTTTTGTGTGAGAGGATCACTGGCAGCATGACATGGAACTTCATAAGTTCACCTCAGTAGCTCAAGGTGTACAGTTTGGTACTGTCACTGTATTTGGTATGGGTCACCACTGAGAATACCAAACTGAGGACAGATGTCAAGAAACATGGCAGACACACCCCTAACTGGTGGTGTATTCTATAATAAGATTTCACCAAGCCAGTTAACAACAGTGATTCCTGTACCACCACACTAGTTATCAAGAAGCCAAAACAGAGTTTCCTTAGGCATTCCAGCCCCTGACTTACCACCCAGACAACTGGATTTTTGTTATGAATGATTATTAAAACTAGAAATCATATATAAAGTTCTTCCAATCCCAAAGGACCAGCCACCTTCCCAGCTCAGTATATGCTTTCAGGATCTTACCAAATATCACCCTGCAGCCAATTCCTTTAGTTAACTAAAAACTAAAGATTTATTAATAGAAAAGAAGAGGGTTATTAAATGGTTAAAGGAATCATATACAGTTGATTTCAGAGTCTGTAGGTCAGGATAATAGCAGTGATGGTGATTCTGCTAGCGTGCAGTAAATCTCCCTGGATCACCTAAAAAGATTGGGGATCATCAGTGTTTTTCCAAAGCTTCCTTGTTAGAAATCACAATCTAGAGAAGTGGAGCAAGAAAGAAGACAAAGCAGTGATGTCAGTCTCCTATTTTATACCCTCAGCCCATGTGCCTAGAAAGTTACTGACAAAAAGATGGAGTCTTAGATCACATGTCCTTCATGCCTCACTGAGTCATGTGGCAACCATTGTCTGGTGCTTTCTGAAACGTATCCAGGAGAGGCGAGCTGGGTCTCTTCAATGGCCCATCAACACAGGGATGGCTAGTATGGATGTGAATTTGCCCTGTGGGTGTCACCCAAGAGAAAAACATACTTGATATACAAACACATAGCCCAGCGGTTCTCAAACTGTTGGTTGGGACCGTAAAGTGGGTCATGGCTTAGACTTGCTGAAGCCCAACCCTGAGGCTCAGGTTACAGGCCCCCTGTGTGGGGGGGCTCAGGTGGGGCCTGTAACCTGAGCCTCAGGGTTGGGCTTCAGCAAGTCTAAGCTGAAGTGGGGCTCAGGTTACAGGCCCCCTGTGTGGGGCTGAAGCCCTTGGGCTTCAACTCCTCCCCATCCTCCCACCCAGAGTGGTGGGGCTCAGGCTTCTCCCCCCTCCTCCCCCCCCCCCCCGCCTTCTGGGGCAGTGGGACTCGGATGGACTGAGGCTTCTGGCCCCCCTCCTGGGGTTGTATAATACAGGCAGTCCTCAGACTTAGGACACAATTGGTTCTTGAAAATTGCGTTGTAACTTGGAACCGCAGTACACTCCATTGTGGGACCAAGCATCATAAAGTCAAAACCAATTGTAAGTCAAATCAGGGTGTCAACTCAGAAACATTGTAAGTGCCATTCATCGTAAGTCGAATGTCGTAAAGTCGAGGACTGCCTGTATTCATAACTTCAGGTACAATGATGATACCTGGATTTAAACAGAATAATCATACTAAATATAGTATAACTTTTCCATTGATACATGACATACTTTGTACAGGATTTATTGCAATCTGTAACAGTGGTGACTGTATTAGTGTAATTAGTTATATTCCTTTTTATACAGCATCACAGGTACAAGCTCAGGCTAGGCATAGCAGGAAGCCAGCCAGCTTGGTGCCACATGAGATTACAGCACCCATCTGCCCAGTCTCCGTGTGCAAATATACTGCTCAGTAGAACTTTATGCCAGCGTGGTTGGTGATGTTATTCACCATCATGAATATGGCCAGGAGAGTGCATTTTGTTTCATGGGCGTATGCTGGAGCACTGCACTGCATGCAGCGACTGTTCATTTGAAACTGAAACACTTTTTAGTTTTTTAGCATCCCCCATTTCCAACAAGCTCACAGTTTGGTACCCCCTGTCTTACTGGATATATGGAGTGCTATACAGTTGCATCTTTCAGAGATGACCTTAAGCCACTTATATACAGTGTAGTTTGTAGCCATGTCAGTCAGTCCCAGGATATTAGAGAGACAAGGTTGGTGAGGTAATATATTTTATCGGATCAACTTTTGTTGGGGAGCGAGACAAGCTTTCAAGCTATACAGAGCTCTTCTTCAGGACCTGAAGCTTGTCTCACCCCCCAACAGAAGTTGGTCTGATAAAAGATATTGCCTCACCCACCTTGTCTCTTGAAATGATTTATGGCACTTTGTAAGAGTGTGGTTTTCCTGTGGTATTCATGAGTAAAATTTCCCCTCATACCCCACTGCTGTGCTTCATGCTGTAGTCTATAGATCTCTTATGCAAGAGATGGCCTATGTAAATGTCAACTATTAAGTTGCTGATAGGTGTTTACCTCGTCTTCTCTAGTGATTTTCTTCATCATGGAGGTGACAGGAAATTTCTTCAGCAAACTGCGTGCTTTAGCTGTCACTTTGGAGAAAGAGGCTGAGCAACTTGAACAAGCATTAAATAGAGAAGATACACGTAAGTGTGTGAGAGGCTGCACCTCAAATCTGGTACTTCAATAAAAGCAGTTAGTTTTGTGCTCTCAGCAAGAAAAACACATTACAAGAGAGGTCAGTATTTCCATCCTGCTCTTTTGTATGGAGATGCTGATTCTAGTTTCCGATGTAATATGGATATTTGGATTAAGATGGAATGTTGAATGCTGAGATCTATAGACTTTGAAGGCCACATGCCTTGTTCAAAACTTTAACTTTTTTTGTTTTGCAACTATTTTTCTTTGTTGAAATTTCTGTATGTTGTGGGTTAAATCTTGAATGGTATGTTCCTAGAATGGCCTTTTTAACATTTGATATAAAAAAAAAGGAAAATTTGTGATTATGAGTTGTGGAAACTGGCAAATTGTTTAAAAAATATGATACCTCTCTTCTAGAAAATAATAGTGATGCAGCATTACCTACACGTGAAAAGTTTGCTTAAACTTATTTTGTTAACCTCGTTCTCGCATATTTAAGTTGTGGGCTGCAGCACTGTGTGGTGAAGCTCCCCCTTCAGCATAAAAAAACCACCCCGCGAGGGACAGAAGCTGTGTCGGCAACATAACCCTGTGCACACTAGCATTTATGCCAGCGTCACTTATGTTGCTCAAGGGAGTGGAATATTCACACCCCTGAGCAACATAAGTTTTGCCGACATAAGTGATAGTGTAGACATAGACTGAGTTCCTGGAGGACATGCAGTAACCCTCCCCCGGGAAGAAGAATACAACCTCTTTTTTTACAAACCTGTCACCCTTATGCACATGATACCAACTAACGCTATAGTTGTATTTACCCTTCATTAAACTCAGATCACGAGTTCTCTTCCATGTAACTGCAGACTATCTCCAGGGCCCCACTACATAAGAATGGCTATACTGGGTCAGACCAAAGGTCCATCCAGCCCAGTATCTTGTCTGCTGACAGTGGCCAATAACAGGTGCCCCAGAGGGAGTGAACCTAACAGATAGTGATTAAATGATCTCTCTTCTGTCATCCATCTCCACCCTCTGACAGAGGCTAGAGACACCATTCCTTACCCATCCTGGCTAATAGCCATTAATGGACTTAACCTCCATGAATTTTAAACCCTTTTATAGTCCTAGTCTTCACAACCTCCTCAGGCAAGAAGTTCCACAGGTTGACTGTGCGCTGTGTGAAGAAGAACTTCCGTTTATTTGTTTTAAACCTGCTGCCCATTAATTTCATTTGGTGGCCCCTAGTTCTTATATTATGGGAACAAGTAAATAACTTTACCTTATTCACTTTCTCCACACCACTCATGATTTTATATACCTCTATCATATCCCCCCTTAGTTTCCTCTTTTCCAAGCTGAAAAGTTCTAGCCTCTTTAATCTCTCCTCTTATGGGACCTGTTCCAAACCCCCTAATCATTTTAGTTGCCCTTCTCTGAACCTTTTCTAATGCCAGTATATCTTTTTTGAGATGATGAGACTACATCTGTACGCAGTATTCAAGATGTGGGTGTACCATGGATTTATATAAGGGCAATAAGATACTCTCCGTCTTATTCTCTATCCCTTTTTTAATGATTCCTAACATCCTGTTTGCTTTTTTGACTGCCGCTGCACATTGCATGGACATCTTCAGAGAACTATCCACGATGACTCCAAGATCTCTTTTCTGATTAGTTGTAGCTAAATTAGCCCCCATCATATTGTATGTATAGTTGAGGTTATTTTTTCCAATGTGCATGACTTTACATTTATCCACCTTAAATTTCATTTGCCATTTTGTTGCCCAATCACTTAGTTTTGTGAGATCTTTTTGAAGTTCTTCACAGTCTGCTTTGGTCATAAGAACATAAGAAAGGCCGTACCGGGTCAGACCAAAGGTCCATCTAGCCCAGTATCCTGTCTACCGACAGTGGCCAATGCCAGGTGCCCCAGAGGGAGTGAACCTAACAGGCAATGATCAAGTGATCTCTCTCCTGCCATCCATCTCCACCCTCTGACAGACAGAGGCTAGGGACACCATTCCTTACCTGTCCTGGCTAATAGCCATTAATGGACTTAACCACCATGAATTTATCCAGTTCTCTTTTAAACTCTATTATAGTCCTAGCCTTCACAACCTCCTCAGGTAAGGCGTTCCACAAGTTGACTGTGCGCTGCGTGAAGAAGAATTTCCTTTTATTTGTTTTAAACCTGCTGCCTATTAATTTCATTTGATGACCCCTAGTTCTTGTATTATGGGAATAAGTAAATAACTTTTCCTTATAGTCTTAACTATCTTGAGCAGTTTAGTATCGTCTGCAAACTTTGCCACCTCACTGTTTACCCTTTTCTCCAGATCATTTATGAATAAGTTGAATAGGATTGGTCCTAGGACTGACCCTTGGGGAACACCACTAGTTACCCCTCTCCATTCTGAAAATTCACCATTTATTCCTACCCTTCGTTGCCTGTCTTTTAACCAGTTCTCAATCCATGAAAGGATCTTCCCTTTTATCCCATGACAACTTAATTTATGTAAGAGCCTTTGGTGAGGGACCTTGTCAAAGACTTTCTGGAAATCGAAGTACACTATGTCCACTGGATCCCCCCTTGTCCACATGTTTGTTGACCCCTTCAAAGAACTCTAATAGATTAATAAGATATGATTTCCCTTTACAGAAACCATGTTGACTTTTGCCCAACAATTTATGTTCTTCTATGTGTCTGACAATTTTATTCTTTACGATTGTTTCAACTAACTTACCGGTCTGTAATTGCTGGGATCACCTCTAGAGCCCTTTTTAAATATTGCCTTTACATTAGCTATCTTCCAGTCACGGGGTACGAAAGCTGATTTAAAGGACAGGTTACAAACCATAGTTAATAGTTCCGCAATTTCACATTTGAGTTCTTTCAGAACTCTTGGGTGAATGCCATCTGGTCCCGGTTACTTGTTACTGTTAAGTTTATCAATTAATTCCAAAACCTTCTCTGACACTTCAATCTGTGACAATTCCTCAGATTTGTCACCTACAAAGGATGGCTCAGGTTTGGGAATCTCCCTAACATCCTCAGCCGTGAAGACTGAAGCAAAGAATTAATTTAGTTTCTCCGCAGTGACTCTATTGTCTTTAAGTGCTCCTTTTTTATCTCGATTGTTCAGGGGCCCTACTGGTTGTTTAGCAGGCTTCCTGCTTCTGATTTACTTAAAAAACATCTTGTTTATTACCTTTTGAGTTTTTGGCTAGCTGTTCTTCAAACTCCTTTTTGGCTTTTCTTATTACATTTTTACACTTAATTTGGCAGTGTTTCTGCTCCTATTTACCTCACTAGGATTTGACTTCAACTTTTTAAAAGATGCCTTTTTATCTCTCACTGCTTCTTTTACATGGTTGTTAAGCCATGGTGGCTCTTTTTTAGTTCTCTTACTGTGTTTTTTAATTTGGGATACACATTTAAGTTGGGCCTCTATTATGGTGTCTTTGAAAAGTGTCCATGCAGCTTACAGAGATTTCACTCTAGTCACTGTACCTTTTAATTTCTGTTTAATTAACCTCTTCATTTTTGCATAGTTCCCCTTTCTGAAATTAAATGCCACAGTGTTGGGCTGCTGAGGGGTTCTTCCCACCACAGGAATGTTAAATGTTGTTATATTATGGTCACTATTTCCAAGCGGTCCTGTTAGTTACCTCTTGGACCAGATCCTGCGCTCCACTCTGGACTAGATCGAGAATTGCCTCTCCCCTTGTGAAAAAAAACGAGGAGTCCTTGTGGCACCTTAGAGATTAACAAATTTATTTGTTTGTTAGTCTCTAAGGTGCCACAAGGACTCCTTGGTTTTTTTGCTAATACAGACTAACACGGCTACCACTGAAACCTCTCCCCTTGTGGGTTCCTGTACCAGCTGCTCCAAGAAGCAGTCATTTAAAGTATTGAGAAATTTTGTCTCTGCATTTTGTCCTGAGGTGACATGTACCCAGTCAGTACGGGGATAATTGAAATCCCCCACTATTATTGAGTTCTTTATTTTGATAGCCTCTCTAATCGCCCTCAGCATTTCATAGTCACCATCACTGTCCTGGTCAGGTGGTCAATATGTTATGTTCTTATTAGAGCCTGGAATTATTATCCATAGAGATTCTGTGGAACATGTGGATTCATTTAAGATTCTTACTTCATTTGATTCTACATTTTCTTTCACATATAGTGCCACTCTTTCCCCCTCTCCCTCCACCCCCCCCCCCCCACGACTTGTTCTGTTTTTCCGATATATTTTGTACTCAGGAATGTTTGTGTCCCATTGATTGTCCTCACTCCATCAGGTTTCTGTCATGCCTATTATATCAATATCCTCCTTTAACACGAGGCATTCTAGTTCACCCATCTTATTATTTAGACCTCTAGCATTTGTGTACAAGCACTTTAAAAACTTGTCACTGTTTATTTGTCTGCCCTTTTCTGATGTGTCAGATTCTTTTTTATGTGAATGTTTCTCGTCTGATCTGGCCCATACTTTATCCTCTCCTGACTAAAACCTAGAGAATCTCTATCAATAGACTCTCCTCTAAGAGAAGTCTCTGTCCGATCCACGTGCTCCTCTGCAGCAATCGGCTTTCCCCCATCTCTTAGTTTAAAAACTGCTCTGCAACCTTTTTAATGTTAAGTGCCAGCAGTCTGGATCCACTTTGGTTTAGGTGGAGCCCAGCCTTCCTGTATAGGCTCCCCGTATCCCAAAAGTTTCCCCAGTTCCTAATAATTCTAAACCCCTCCTCCCTACACCATCGTCTCATCCACGCATTGAGACTCTGAAGCTCTGCCTGCCTACCTAGCCCTGCCCGTGGAACTGGAAGCATTTCTGAGAATGCCACCATAGAGGTCCTGGATTTCAGTCTCTTCCCTAGCAGCCTAAATTTGGCCTCCAGGACGTCTCTCCTACCCTTCCCTATGTCATTGGTACCTACATGTACCACGACCACCGGCTCCTCCCCAGCACTACACATAAGTCTATGCAGATACCTCGAGCGA